TATTGTGACCTTTTAACCCAAACCTTATATGGATTTTATTTATGCATAACAAGTACAAAAAATGTTAACTGTAAGTTGCCCTTTTGCCCCTTCATCAAGCACATTATCAAAGTACACTACATGTGATTTGCATCGGTGCCAAATAAATCCCCTCAGTCTCCACTGAAGTTCACTGAGGTGTCAGAGCAGATGTTGTCATAGAATTCTTTATGTATATTTCTGTGCTGTGATGCCTGGACCCTGTTCAGTTGTTTACTCCATAATATGGCTGCTGTATAAATAACATCTGTAAACAATCTCCCTTCAGTATTGTACTATTGACATCTACAGTATGGTGAAGATGGAAAACATTCTTTCTTCAATTAGTTTGCCTTACGGGTGTGTTTTCTTTGTTTAAACAGATGAAAGATGATGAGTAAAAAGCATTACTTTCTACAATTTAGGGAACCTAAGTACAACAATTCCTTTTTAATGTATTTTCACTTTTGAGAATAGACAAAAAACGATATGAAAAACAAACTTGAACAAATTTCTGCTCAGGTTTACTTAACAATGTTGCTGTTTGCTCTGATTTCAAATTTGCTTATTATTTTGCCATTTAAAAAAAGTTAAAATAAAAAATAACACAGGTGTATGAGATAAAATGATGACATGTATCAAAGCTGGAGAAGCTAACATATGCTAACATTAACATGTTGTTTCATTCAAATCAGGTACTTTCTGAAATTATAACATCTGTCTTAGAACTTTTCTGACTTCCCTTCATATTTTTAGACGATGAAACCAAACATTTCATAAATGAGCTAAACCTTGACTGATGTGAATAACAGAAACTAAAGTCAAGCAACATGTGACCGAAAATACTCAAAATACTGTTTTTGCTTTCATTCACTTCCTTCCCATCTGATCCCATGTCCGCTTGTTAAATATTTCTGTAGTGTTAGTTCCTCTTTGGAGACCAAACAATCGGGAAGTTATCATCAAGATCCATAAAGCTTGAGCTAAATAAAGCCAGCAGCAGATGGCTGAACAAATATTACGAAACGAAAGGTTGGCGGTTGCCATAGGTACTATATGCTAATTCCTAATGGTATCATTCAACTGGCAGGACAAGTGAGTGCGGTGTGTGTACTGTACTGTATGAGAGGATTGAGTTGTTGATTGAGACAGTGTTTTCAGTTTGAAACAAATTCAAACCTCACTCCCAGCTCCAGAATTGTGTTAGCCTACATTTAAGCATTGGGATTATTTTTTAACCTGGATGCGGAGTTCTCCTGGGAATGATCTTAGTTGCGTTTGACCTCCAGTGATGTAGTTGTTTGTGCTAAAGCCCAGGAGAATAAAGTTTAACATATGTAGGCAAAGGAAGAAAAGGAAGAGGGATGGAAAGAGGAAGTGAAAAGTGAAATCTCAAGTTGGTGGGAAGATGTGAAAATTCAGTTCAAGTTAATGTAAACACCAGAATATTGCAAGTTAATACGGTTTATAAATAACAAATATTCCGGAACTGGGTCACACGAAAGTTGAGATGTTTATCAGCACTAGCTAGTCCTGCTGGTATCTTGACAGCATTTTGGGTGAGGCTAAACCTGCAGCAGAGCTCAGATGAGCTCAGTGCTAAAGCGACATGTTCAGTAGGGTAACTTCTGTTTGATGGGTATGGTGAAATGTCAGGACACCAGAGCAAAGATGAGTCGTATCACCTTAGCACTCTGAATCTGTGAAACCAGTGGGCAGAGCTGAGTTCAGAGCTCATTTGGGCTGACATCAATAACTCTGACAACCACTCCTCCACAATGGAGGAGGTAACAAACAAGAGTATTAGCACTTAGCATTAGCATAAACTATAATAAATGGGAACATAGCTGTCAAATACACCTTATTTGTTTACATTTTTTGCGAACTAATTTTTAGACTGAATTCCTAGCATGATGCAATTAATTAATCTAAAACATGATGCGATTAAAAGTAATTAGAATTGTTATCAAAGCCCAGCTTAAATAATGTTATTTTTTGATGACTGTCTGATTCTTTCAAGTGATGTGAAGCCAGGAAACCGATGTGTGTTTTTCCTGCCACCGTCACGCCTGTCGTGTTTGTATTCACATCTTGTACATCGTAGTCAAATGGGAGTCAAATAACAAAGGCTTTCCAATTACGTGTAGCACACTGTGTGAGATGGAATATCACAAAGCCATTGTTCCTCTGCTCCTGTTGACCTTACCTTTGAAATGGTTTCACGGACGCTACAATTGGCCCGCGCCATTTGATTTAGCTAAGGGGATTTGACCATCAGCGCACAGAGATGACGGGGGGAGGAGAGGAGAGGAGAGACCACTACATACAGCTTGATGAGGGAGAGGAGGGTTTCAGCTAACAACTAACCATGCTTCGTCCTCGGGCAGATTAAACCAGAGAGCATCTGTTTAAATAAGAGCTATTTACAGCTTCATAATACGGTAACTCAGTGGTAAAGAATGGAATCATCTCCTTGTTGTGTTTTGACAAACTACTACCATATGAATTCTCAGTTAATATACACAGTATTAACCTGCTGCTGTTCTGCCGTTCTTCCCGTCCCTTAAATATACACGCCGTACACTCTCCGCTGCGCTAAGACTTTCCCTCTCTCTGCTCCCAGCCTGACTGGAACCATCTTGTTTAGAGTGATGGCTCACTCACACAGGTTCACGGCTGCTATTGTAAAATCAGCCAGCGTTTAATTGAAACAAATGACTATAATAATAGAACATTATCCCCGCAGGCACCCAGCCATGACAGCTTTAATTAGAGGCGCGTTTCAAGACTGATCCTTCAAAAGCGCCGCCGCCGCGCAACACGGCGGTAAACACTCCTTTAGGTGGGGAGTCGAGCCGGGGTTCACACAACCCTCAAAGCTACTCCTCATTCACCCTGAGGGCAAAGTGCTAACAACTCCCTTCCTCAAAGAGCGCCGACTCCTCACCCTGCCTCCTCCTCCTCCCCTCTCCTCCACACTCTCTCTCTCCCTCTCTGTGTCTCTCTCCCCTTTGTCCCTTCATCCATATCTCTGCCCTATCAAGATTACATATGCCCAGGAGGGTCATTTACACAAGCTGAGGAGAATTAATAAGAGAGAGGAATTATGAATCACGGGCTACTTAAGGGGCTTCTGTCTACTCGCGACTTCACACAGATGCAAAGTGGGAAGAAAATGTGAGTGAGCTAGGAATTTAATAAACGCTGCGTTTTATTCATTCCGATTTTCTTTGCTCCCATCAAGGTGATCACTTTTCTAGGAACTCATTGGATATTTCAGCATGACAACATCAGGTATTCAGGCTTAAAATTAAAATAATAATACTTTGTAGACAGTGTACTTGACTGGCCTGCCTGAAGTCCAGGAAATAGCTGCTGCATTATGAAGAGGAGATTCAGACAACGGCCACCAGAGACTGTTGGGCAGCACGGTTCATTTAAATAGAGTTGCATAGGCAAGGTTTGAATCTTACAAATCATTTGTGGTCAGCAGTTAGTAGGCAACATGGTGGAAGAGTGGTTAGCGCTCTTGCCCACTCTCCTTGTGTGCAGGTTTTCTCACACATGCTAACGTTAGCATCTCCCATAGTCCAAAAACATACAGGGTTTGGTCAAAGGTTTACTCTAAATGGACCATAGGTGTGAATGTGAGTGTTAATAGTGGGTCGATATGTGACTGCAAGAATGGCCTGTAAGCCCCGCCTCCATGACATTAAAAGGGCACTGTGGTAAAAAACAAAAAATGAATATAAAATTATTAAGCTGGTAGATTTGAGTTGTTGTTTTTTTAATGCTATTTTTGTCTTACTAAATTACACCATTTAGTTCTTATATAACCCTACAAGACAAGGGTACTTTGATTCAGATGTATTACAAAAATGAGATCCAGGTGCCGTCTCTGCCTGCTGAGTTTAGCAATGACTTTATTACAACCACATTTTGTTTATTATCTTGGCAAGGACTGAAAAAAAAAGAGAAAAACAAAAAAACCAGGTTCTTTAAAAAAAAAGTAAAACGTTAACACTTGCTCTTGCACTGAACTGTGATCAAGCAATTAATCTGGCAGAAAAACAGCAATGCCTCGCAAAAGCCGCAGCATGGGGAAACAATTATGAGTCTCAACGCAGACTTCAAAAGAGAGAAAAAAGCAATCTATTCCAGTGGCTAATGTAACCGTGAAGCAGAAATGGACTAAGACGCTGCGATGCTCAAAGCCGACCACGGTCCATGACGACAGAGTTGATATTTTCATACACTGAGGATGTTAATGTCAGACTGAATGAAAGAAAACACACAGGAGAGGAGTGAAAACAAAACGATATTTGAGAAAAAGAGACATCCAGGAATGTTTTTTGGAGTTTTCTCATAGTAAAACCTTTAGGTTTCCAGCTCCTGACACGTGAAACCAACCTCAGGTAGAAAAAACAAAACGCACAGATTTGTCTGTGATTTGTCTAAAAGAGAGATCAACATCTATAGGAACATTCTCTGTATTGTTCAAATTGTAGCGTATTTAAAAGAGAGATCAACATCTATAGGAAAATTCTCTGTATTGTTCAAATTGTAGCGTTGTGATTGTGTTGCTGCTGTCCTGGCCAGGTCTCCCTTTGAAAAGAGATCTCAATAGGCCCAACCTGGGTAAGATGGAATAAATAAAATATTATTACCATTATTAAAATAATAACATCATTATTTATAATAACATATTTGAAGCTGGAAATAGACGGTGATGAGGTTTTCAAAGTACTGAACTGTCCTGAACAAGGCAACAACCAGGCTGTGCTTGATTTGCAGATCGTAATGTCATGATGTTCCCCTTGGCACTGTCCTCCATGTTCCTCATTACTGCTAATGTCAGAACCTACTTTGCTTTTATTTGCTTTCACTCTCTCCCCCTCCATTTATCTCACCCTACTGTTCTCTCCTTCCCTCTCTCTGGTTCTTCACTCTTTATTCTCTCTCTCTGTAATTCTGTCTCTCCCGCTCACTCTCGGTGCCCGGGCGTGTCTTTCTTTCTCTCTCTCTCTGAGCTCACCTCACAAAGCACAGCATCACAGCATCACAGAATCACAGCCTCGTCTGACATGACATGCAGGAGACGGTTGTGAGGAGCGGTGGGGACACACGGTCTTGACAGCAGAAGGCAAGGATTCTCTGCTCCCACTAATGAGACTCCTGACTCCGGTGTCAAACACACTTTGTGTCTATGTGTGTATTTGTGGGGGTGTGCCCGTGCTTGCACAACAAAAACACGGAGGGAAGGAGAGAGAGAGAGATGCAGAAGTAATGAACACAAAAACAAGGGAGAACATGCAAATGAAAGGCAGCGCCGCACGTCACACTCCATATGTGCTATATGAGGACATGACAGGGAGATTTGCATGTTCGTCCAAAACCTGTCAGAGCAAAAGTTCACACAGGCGGGAACTATATTTACCACATTCTTTTAGCTCTGAGCATTAAACAATATCTTGTACCACATCAGTGCATCAGAATATGAACTACAACAACCTGGATATTGGACTTTATTTCACTAATTACACCAAATTAAAGTGTTAGGGTCAGAAAAAAGGGCTTGAATGTAAAATTGAACTGCATTGTTATTTTGATTATCATAACAAGTTTCCATTTATAGAAAACGGGTGGGTGGAGACCAGCAATCGGTAAATGTGTCAAATGCTACATTAATGTCTGATTATTCAGAAATATGATTCAAAGAAACCAAGAAGTGGCACCGCGCACAAATTTCCTCACCAACAACCTAAATTTCAAGTTTGTTTTTTGAAGCATGCAGTAATGACTTTGTGGTTTCAACTTGGACATTTTGCAAAAACTTACTAATTACTAATTACTTACTTACTTACTAACTGTGGTTTCAACTTGGACATTTTGCAAAAAAAAAAAAAAAAAATTTTCTAGGAAATAAAGGTTTTTTTTTATCTTTGTTTTGAAATCTTATACCAACTTTTCAAAAACAAACTAATTTTCTAGGAAATAAAGGGTTTTGTTTTGAAATCTTATACCAACTTTTTTGTTTCCAGTTACATATGACCTACACTTACTATAAAGAAAAGACACTCTAACACTGGTTCTTCTCCCAGATTTATTGTGCTCTATGGACCTGACAGCAGTGTCATCTGTTAGATATATTATACTGCCTGCAAATACTGCACACAGTTTTATGGGCCAGTAAAGTGTTGTTGTCATTTAAAGCTAATCCTTTAGAAAATACCAAAATCCTAACAAGCTAAATTCAACACTTTCCTGAAGCTGTAATACAACTTATAATAACATAGAAATTAAAGAAAGAAATGATTTAAGGTGTATGCAATGTTTGTAAGTTGTTTTCTGGAAAATTCCTGGACTGGGTTCGTAAGGAACAGACGAACACATGCTGTCAAACTGTAGTAGGTGAAACTTATCGATCGTGTTTTATAGCTAGCCCGCCAGTATACAGCGCATATACCACTAATACTACAAATCCCAGAATGCTTTGCTAGTGATTTGGCGCGTTAGGACGTACTTTAAAGAGCAAACTACAGAAGGTAGAGGAGAAGTCAGGTGTCGCAGTTAACTGTGTTCACAAAAACAAAACCACAAACTGAGGCTGCTGTAAAGACTACTTTTACTGTGGCAGCAGTGACCAGTCCAGCTCTGGTCAAGAGTTTGTCAAAAAAGTGCGTGGTCAAAGTTTGAAACATTGTGTGTCCGGATTAAAAGCAATCATTTTAAAATGCGTGCCTGAGGGGAAACACCGTGGCTGGTGGAAAATAGGAAAATATTTTATCGCATTCTCCCTTGCTGTACGTGAGAGCAGCGACACGTCTGATACTGGCCAGCTGTCAATCTTCACACATGGAGTGGACTCGAGTCTGTGCGGAACTTCTGGAACGAAAACCAATGCATGGCACAAACACGGGAAAATAACTACACCTGTGGGACTAACGGCGGTCAAAGGAGTGGACTGGTGGGCAGGACCACGCAGCGCAGGTGAGTTTACAGTTTATCACTGCATCATCTCGATATGCTCAACCTGTAGCTTCAAGGGCGGGGCCACGTTTTAGCGGAAATGTACGCTGCGGTGAGGGCTTTTAAAACCAAGTTGTGCCTGTGGAACACTAAGATGCTGCAAGGAAACTTGAGACATTTTCCGGGCTGTCAAACCATGAAAAAGCAGGTCTCTCCTACCGTGGAGCCTAGTGCACAGTTGCCTCGTTTTACTGAAAAAGTCATTGTTTTCATTGAAGGAAATTATTATTAATTTTGGTTGTTGGCCTGTGAAAATGGATTGACATTAAAAATGAAGTAGAAATTAGAAATTAATACCACTGCTGTGTTTTATTTCAAATTTAATTTCTCATGTGTTTATAATAATAAGCTTTGCTTGTTGCAAATTCAAGGTTTACACAAAACTGAGTTTGTTTCCACATTAAAAGGTTCAAAAATATATGTTGTTCCCAAAGTAGTGGGCAAGCAGAAGGTCAAATTCATTTATTTGTTATAATATTAATATTTAATATATTTTCTTTTTATTTCCTTTACCTTGTGCCAAAGTGAGAAATAATATTCTGGATATTGTCCAGAATAACTTCAGAACTGTTGCAGAATAGAGTGGATTCAGTGGGAAAATGTCCCATAATTCTTTGTGGTTTTTTTTGTTTTGTTTTTTTGTCAATGCTGCTTCATGAGTTAGGACTGTAGCACTGTTCTTGTCGTTTGTGTTCTCTTGGTTGTAGTTATATAGAATAAAAATAAAGCCATATAATGTGCAGTAAAGGAGCACTCTCATTTTGGGATTGAGTGACTCTGCAGCAGTAACTCAGTTTAAACTGACAGATGTTGAGAGAACCATCTGGCAGGGATTATTGCTGATTATTTTTTCCCCCCTCAATCCATGTTGGTACCTGCCCTCTGAACTTCATTACTTCCTGAAATCTACATAGTCGAACAAATCACAGAAAGTACATGACTTAGTTGAGCGTCAAAAAACTGGCGGGATTAAAAGTAATTTGGATCATGACAATAGTTTTGGAAGTCCTTGGAAGAAACGAATGATAGCAAGTAGGAGGATTGAGAAATATACCAATACTGCAATAATCCTATCAGACAGACTGTCTTTCTTAAATACATGTGTGAATCTCACTGGTTTAAAGCCACTCTTGTGCACACAACTAGGCAGATTGGCAGCCTTATGTTTGCAGCACAGCAGGGAAGAGTCCCCAAATTCTGTGAAGACCTGCGACTTCCCTTCACTGTCACAAGGGCAAAACTGACTCCTGGTGGTGGTGGTTGTGTTGAAAGCAGAATCAGCTGATGGATGGTTGAGATAGGGCCACAGTGCAATATGGACACGATTTCATGGCATGATAAATCTCAGCGGGGGCCTGTGGCTAAGTGTAATATGAAATCTCTTATCTATGTATCTGCTTCATAACACTGGCCATATCTGCAGCAGATGAGTCTGCCTTTGTTTCTTTTAGCCTGTGTGAATAACACAGATGATCAAATCTACATTATGGAGGAGGACGACGACGACACGTGTGTACATGTGTGTGTGTGTGCATGTGTGTGTGTGTGTGTGCATGTGCATGTGAAGTGGCATCTTTTATGCGCGGTTGTTTTGAAAATACGATGTGATAAATTATCTAAATTGAAAAATTGTCAGTGCAGAAAAGAAGATCCTCCTCCATCACCGGCGACGGCAGCGACGAACAGTGTTATTAGAAATGGGTTTTGCACCAGCACTCTGTGCTACTTGAGCTTGTGTTTGTATAGAATTAAAACGACACCTGCAATAATAAAATAAAAAAAAGAAATGAAATGCAATTTGTCTCACAGCACTGAGCTCTTTAAAGTTCAGAGTATGTTATTAAACACCATCCCTTTAAAGTTTCTGATTAAAAAGAAAGAATTTAAGTCGGCACTTTATCCTCTGATTAGACTAATCTCATTATAATTGACTTCACCGAGGTGGAGGTGGAAAAAGAGAGCTCACATAAATAGATCCCGAAGTGATGAATCCGTAAAATAACCTATATTTCTTTTAAGATATTTTTTAATATACAACTACAGTTTCATATCACATTGCTGGAGAAATAAGGCACTTTTTCCCAGGAGATGTGAAAAGAATTGAATTTTTCCTTATCGGTCATCTATTTTTCCACAGAATGCTATTACTTGCTGGCAGCCGTTGCTTAGCAACAGGAAATATTAATAGGACCTTTTATTAGCTAGGCTATACCAGCGGAGTACTAAAATGAGGAAGTGGAAAACATGAATGTGTTACATAAATCTCCAAACCTTTCAGGGTTTGCTGCCATCTCTGTTTGTCCAGTGATTTATGGCTGTGATGGTTCATTTATAGAATGGGGGGGGGGGGGGGGGGGGGGGGGGAAAAAGGGACAATTTGAAAATAAATAATCACCTAAAAGAAGTGGAGATGCCTGCAGATTGTGATTTTTTTTATGACAATTCCTAGATGCAGTGATAATATAAAGGAATCTTTAAAATTCAAAATCAAATTACTAGGGCTGCCAATTGATGAAAAAATAAAATTTTATATCAGATTAATCATAGTGTAGCTGTAGATTAATCATAATGAATTGTGACTGCAAAAAGCTGTGTTTAATCACGATAAATCTAAATAAATCAGCATGCTTAAATAGTAAAATGTAATACATCATGCACATTGTAAATATAAAAATAGTACACATTCATTGTAATATTAATTTATCACAATGAAACAACGCATAATTGAGATAAATTAACATTTCTTAATATGACAAAAATAATCAGTATAATGCTGGAACAAAACAATAGATATGTATATTAATATAATATAAATAAGTATGTGTTTAACATTTATTTTTATATGTGGCTAAACTTTAAATTTAGCTTCAAGGAATTGGTGGTTTTTAGTCATTGCTGTGCATCTTAACGTTAACTTGAAAAACGTTGAGCGTTGCTTTCAAAGCCTCATCAATATTAATCAGTCCACGGTCAGTTTGTCCGTCGTCGACTTACTTAATGCCCTGCGCTCAGTGAGGTTGATTTGACGCATCCGACCTGAAGTTGAAGCTTCTGCGAACAGTTGAGTTGGTATTTTGAACTTGAGGTGCTTTGTGAAACAAAAACTCCTTTTCTGTAGTGTGTACTGACTGAGTATTTGAGCAGCAGTATATAGGCAGAAATACTGGATAAACACTTCATTCTGACCTTCATTCTGTTTTTGTTATTTCAATCTAACTGAGCGTTACACTTTAATTGTCGTGATTACGGCATTCAGTTTTACGTCATGAAAGCATTTGCTTGTTGAAGTATGAAGTTAAGAAAAACTCTGCAAATTCCTTATCATTTTTTCTTAGCTGACTTAAAAAATAATAACTTTAAAAATACCAAATTTAAGATCCTTCAAGTGAAAAAAGTTAAAAATTGTTTTAATTCCTCAAGCAGAGACATAGAATATCTCTCAGAGCAAAAGTAAAAAAAAAGTTGGATTATATATTATTCACATATTTAATTGAAATATAAAACAATAATAATGTACACACTGACTCCAGGTGTATTATATATTTTTAGACCTCTGTGTTATGTCAGCAGTTTTCTCAGAAACCAACACAAGTTTTATTTTAAGAACTTGTTTAGTCTCCAACATTTCTATGAAAACCAGCAGTCGGACAGTACAGTGTGTGATAACTGGCCTCCCCTGTGAGAGATGGCATTAACGCACACACACACACACACACACCTCTGCTCTCAACCTTTCGATTCACCAACGCTGCTCTGTGACAAGTTCAGTTGACGTCGAAGCTCATATTTCATTCACACCGGCCTGAAGAGTGAGCACCTGCCAGCAGCACTTAAAACCGAGCGACAGAAACATAAAGGAAGAAGAAAAAGAAAACAGTGGCGACCAATCGTATTAACATGACAATCAGGGCAGGATTAATGCTGGATAATTAACCTCGACAGGAGAGAAGATAAAGAGCCCGTGAGGAAATTCCTACGTTTTGGGCGATGAATTTGAATATGAATTAAATCTGCTGGATGTGTGAGGGTTTTTTTCACAGCTCCGACCGTGACCCACCTTTGGGCTGATACTCATCGCGTATTCCTGCAGAAATAACACCTGAGAGAATAACAGGCAACTTGACAGAGACTGGACTGTCTACAGATACACAGCCCCTCCTGTCTTTCAATTCATATGTAAACATTTTTACCTTTAGGCACATTTTAGTGTTTATAACAATGAGTTCACTCTGCACGTGTGTGTGTCCTGAGTGGAGTTGTGTATCTTTTTGTTGAGACGATCAATGCAACCTGATCAGGGCTATTAAATGTCCAATGTTCATTGGAACATGTAGATGCTATGACAGAGGGGGCATTACACAGAGGGGCATGTAGAGACAGGGAGAGAGGGGGAGGAAGAAAAAAGACAAGAAGGAGAGGGGGTGGTAGAGAGAGAGAGTGTGTGAATGAAAGATGTGGAGAGAGTGAAAAAAGGGAGAAGAATGAAAGATTGGAAGAGAGTGAGAAGGGGAGATGGGATAGATGAGGGAGAGAGAGGGAGGAAAAAGAGGGAGGGGAATTACAGAGAGGCAGAATGAAAAACTAAAGATGTTCCTCATTCATCAATCAGAGATGGGATCTGTTGCCCTGCTCGTCTACATGCCCTTGTGTCCCTGGGAATAAATGATGCAAGAAGAGCTGTGTGAATGTGTGAGTGAATGGGCTTACGGTAAAAGTAAGAAAAGAAGCCTTAAAAATATGTTTAAATACTACAGGTAGAAAACTTCTCTGACCTGCAGCTGTAAAAGGTTCAGAAAGAAATGACAACAGTACACTTAAACCAATACAACGACTTGTCATGGTCATTGATTATTGGATTAAATGTTTCCAATTATTTCCATAATTCCTATTTCTCCAGTCCTTATTTAAATTATTTGTTCCACTGATTGTGTCTCATTGTGTCATTTAATCGACCTTCATCATCCTCAGAGCAGAGCTCAACTGCTGCCAGTGAAAACTGATTCTCTCTAAATTTCTCCTGTGGTATAATAGCACGCCATGTTTATTTAGTGTGTTCAGTGTATATACTGCTGCAGCTGCTGTGGAGTGCTCTACAAATGTCCTCACATCTGCATCACGTAGGGACAGGCTTAAAGAAAAAAACCCCCAGCATAATAACAATAAACCCCGGCTCTCAACCTTTCATTGAAGCTGAATAATCTGATTCAACTCAAGTGAATTATCTCTAAAATATCTAATAAAAATATCCAGGAGCTAGAGAAAAAAAACCTGCAGGTATACACTCACTTTGAATAAGAGTTACCTCTTTGCAATTTTTCCCCCTCCTCCCTCCTTCCCTGCTTGGCTCTCACCCACCCCCCTCTCCTTCCACTCCCACCCCCCTTTCATCCAACCCTATTGCACGCTTTTCATTGCCCACCTCACGTATTGAATCTGCCTGATGAAAACAGATCTCACTGCAGCACCACAATAGAATGGCTGATGCAGGAAAGATGAACCCTAATGGATTTTTTTTTCCTTCAATGTGCTCAAGATTGAATATAAGGCCTGACCTCCAGATGTAGTGGATCTATTTCAACAGCACAGATATTGTTTATGGTGGAGACACACACACACACACACACACTCACACTTACGGGACAATGTCAACAACAACATGCGGGAGCAGCGTCGGCCTGGGCAGAGGCCACTTGTACCTAATACGACACATAAAAACTAGTCTAAAAATTCAGTTATCTCTTGTTTTTTTGTTTTTTTATCTGTCCGTGTCAAGTGAGGTATTCATAACGATACCGTCTCCTGTTTGAACCGCGGAGTTTGCTTAATTACTTTGCTCAGCAGACTGTGTCAAGGTGAGGCACCCATTTTAATAGACACTCCACTGGCGGTACAAATGAAGTGCTGCTACGCTTTGGCAGTTTTCGCTGCAGTGACTATTGGATTTAGAATTTTCTGAGTTTGCTGTAAGTGTTGGAAAAAAAAAGAGCTGCTACATCCCAGAGTGGCCGCTCTTAGCCAAAGGTTGAAATATCAAAGCACCTTCCAACGTCAACATCCAGGATTATTTTACAAGGAAAAACATAGCGAGCGCTTATTTTAATATATTTAACTTTTTCATCTCCGCGCCCGAAATTAAATTCACCACCTCATCCGTCAAAGTCCGGTCGTCATCGGCAGCAGTTGTCAGCAGATTTCTCTGCGTCTCTGGTTTGGTTGAACACGGGCCAGCTGATCATTGTAAATCTCATGCATTTTTATCACATGCCCCAGCGCTGTTCAATCTATTAGAACTACTGGGTGTGGTTCTGTGTGCAGCAGGAACGAATATTTCGAGCCAAAGGCTGGCCAATAAACCACTGTCTCCAATGTGAAAGGTCACGACCTGTGTGTGAACTGTATATAAGGAGATAAATGACATGTGACGTTATAAATGTATTGGTGTGTTTATATTTCAGATCTTTATTATGATCCATATCAGTTGTAGGATGACTTTTTATTTCTCTCATCTCTGCTGCTGACATTAGAATACATCCTACTTTACCTTGAAGTGCATCAGTGTATTTAATATTTGATCATACTGTAGTATGACTTGTTAATCCATATAAGACATCTGACGGAAAACGGTTACATATAATAGACAGACGCTACGTTATAGACTGTGTAATAGTAATTAATTTAGCCGAGAGACACAGCTGTCGAGAGCAGCGACTCCAGCATCTGTTGATGTCACAGTTAATGTGGAGTAAAATATGAAGCGCTGGAAAACTGACCTTCAGAAGAAAAAAAATCGCGTTCATGTTGGCAGCTACATGTTCAGTTCAACATCAAATAAATGACCAGAAAACTTAAACATAGTGATGAATAATGTAATCAAAAAATCATTTCAATTCAAGTATTTAAAGAGAAAACCCATTATTACCCTATATTAATTTTTCTTTTATCTAAACGTTTTATTCATTTTGGAACTGAAGTAACAAACGTTGCTGTTTTGAGGGCACATTTTTGCTCCCCTCTGTCAAGTTCACATTCCATGGTCGGTGTTCTTTACTAAGATTATTATTATATAATCATTATTTGGCATCATCTTCACATGGCTAGGCTAATTTATTAACGCAGCAGGAAACAGGTCCTCGCTATGTTGACATAAGACAACACATTGTGAGAGATGTGGACCGCAGGCTGGACTGTCGCAGCCCAGGCACTCCAAGTCTACTGTACAAAGTGATGCTTTTGCAGTTTGCTATTTGTGCTTAAAAAAAGCTATTTGGACTTTATTTAGCAATAGCTAGGCTTAGCTAGCTTAAAATAATCACCTTACTAGACTGTAGTAGGATTAAGAAGACAAATGGAAGGGCCTGCGAAACACAACCGAAACCCTTGTGTGTGTGTGTGTGAGCTTGATATACATCAAAAGAAATTCCCTCAGTGTCCTGCAGTTTTTCTGAATGCAAATATGAGGTGTGGAAGTGCTGATGTGTGGAGGCAGTGATCAGTCTGTATTCTTGTGTCAGAGCTGGACCAACAGACTGACGCTTGCTGGGCTGATGGTTGTGATGCTGTTAAATTTGAACACAGTGCTTTTTTTCTCCATCATTTTAAACAGTGTAGTGTTATTTAAGTTGGTTTCAGAGCTTCCATTTTCTACATAAAAACCAAATCAATTTCTGGGGCTTATGGGTAAATTTGAGAATTCTTCTGTGTTCATTCTTGAGTCCTTGGAAGAGAAGCTTCAGCGTAATTTGTTTAATATGTTTTTGTCCATAACTGATGAAATATTCATTGACACTTTGAGCTTCACATTTCCATTCTCTCGACTCACCGAGGGCATTTGGCTGGAGACCAGGTGACCGTCCTGTGCCAACATGTTGGACATCATCAGTGTGGGCAGCTCTGGGTAGGAATACGGGTTGATGAGCCCATTGTGTGACAGCGAGTGGCAGAGGTAGCCTGTAGAGTCGTGCTCCATCAGGTGGAGAAGAGGAGGCTCCGGGTGGTTGGGTGGAGTGATGGGGGGAATCTCATAGTCTTCGTCCCCGGCTCCGTTTCCACCTCCTCCTCCTCCTCCTCCACCTCCCCCGCTGCCACCAGTCTGACCTGTGTAGCTCTGAGTGAAACGAGAGAAGCAAGAAAAACAAAATTATACAATCACATTCATTGAGATCACAGTGTCCTGAAAACAGATCTAGTACTTTACAAAGACCAACACAAATAAAAATAAATTCATTTAGTTAAGAGCAAACTGACACTACAAATTAAACTGGAATATAAAGGAACAAATCTGCTGACTGATGACTGTTAAAGCAGGGCCCTGTTTTCTGGGGTAGTTGCATGCTGTACATCAGGTAACACTGCAGCTTCATGATTACTTTTTAATAATAATATTAAAAACATATAAGAGCATTGACCAACTGTGTTTCTCACAGAGCATTGGTTTTGTCAACAGTGGTAGCTGTACCAGCTAATTTTTCATAGAAAAGGAGTAAGATCTTGAATTAGCCTTGACACAATGCAAAATTTCTTCTGCTTTTGTATGTCATCAAATTTATTTTATCTAAGATTTTCAAAACAATAGTTTTTTTATTTGCCAACTAAATCTAAAATTATTAAAAATGAACCAACATTTAGTGTTTCGCAGTGCATTAAATTGTCATTGTTTAATCTTCTAATCTTTTATTTTGTCACTTGCTAAGAGTGGGTGTCACTTTGGTTCAAACATCTCATTTCAGAAACAAAAAGTAAATGCAAACTAATCTGATCTGAAATTAGCAAAATCAGGCGCCTCAGCATCGGTTGCCTGTCACACTGACACGGTGACTTGAACCAGATCTGGGTTCGGCAAGGAACAAAAAGAGAAGAAAAGACAAGGAAAAAAATAATGGCAGAGAAATTGCACCGGGCTATGAAAAGCAATTTTGTCTGAGATGCTCCAACTTGACTCCCATTGTAATGACTGAGTCAAATTAATCATCACAAATAATATTCTGGTGTCAGCCATTCAAGGGTTTTTTAATAGAATTTTTATGATTCATGTCTGGCAGTATACATCAAACAGTCACTACGGCAACATTTCTCAAATCAATTCAATATCATCTTTGTGTAGACTGTCATCCTCGGCAGCCGAGTGGTCATTTATCTCTCAAACAGATACTTTGGAAAAAATAAGGGAGTGGGGGAGGGGTACAAGGAAAGAGGAAAGGAAGCAGGACAAATTGTTGACTTGTTTCCTGCAGCCTTGTTTGGGTCTAAATGTCAGTTTATGGTGCAGTGGTGAGATGAGTGACATAATAGTTTGACTGTTTCATCTTAAATAATATTAATAATAAAAGAAAATCTGCTTGTTAGTTAAAATGTTAAGCAGCAAAATTAGTTTTCTTTTTTCCCCATGCAGCGGTTTTAACATATCAAAGGTCCCTTTGTGTGAATCTGAGACGATAAATAAGAATAAGAGAAATTTCATTTGCCTTTAAATTAACCAGAAGGAATTACCTTAGCAATTTTTATTGTGAAGCAAAGTTGTAGACTCAGCATGAACATGGTACTTTTATCTCGCTACATGATGTTTCTCCAAATGATAAAGAGGAAAAATGTGATTGCGTCAGTTTGATTTACTCGTCCCGATACAGCCTGCGAGCCGGTTGATAATAATTTGCCGGCCCCTCCTTTGAAGACAGATGTTTTTATAAACCCGTAGGGGATTGTGTTATTGTTTGGTCTAATGGACAAGAAAACCAACATTTCCTGAGATTCAATTTCCCTCATAATTGTTGGAAGGAAACTAAATTGTCTGTTGTAAACATTGGGGCCATTGTGTTGAGCCGGGTCCCTGTGTGTCGCTGTCATCCTTCTTTACCTCTGGGGCTGACCACCGGGTAATTTTAAACCTGCATCTGCTTAGCCACCATCACTGCTATCATGGCCATCATCATCTTCATCAAGCCTATCACCATCACCATTATCATAACCATCTTCATCATCATTACCATCTTCATCAACATCAATACCATCTTTATTGTCATCATCATCGCCCTCTTCATCATCATTAACACCATCACCATCATTACCATCTTCCTCCTCCTCATCATCACCATCACCATCTTTATCATTGTCATCACATTTCCTCCTCCTCATCATCACCATCTTTATCATTGTCATCACACTTGTCACCAACATCATGATTATCACCATTATCACTGTCACTACCATTAATATTATACTGGGCATTAGCATTAGCATACTCGCATAAGCATATCATATTAGCATAAATTAAATCATAAATTACATTATGATTAACATGACCATCATCATTATTGTTATTGTATTTTTCATCATAATCCTCATCACTGTTATTGTGATAATTTTCAGTCACCCTCATCATGGTTATCATCGATCACTTATATTAGCAGCATCATTTTCATATCATCAGCAACATTGTTATCATCACCATCATCATCATCATTATCGTCCTTATCATTATTATTGCCCTTATTGTTATCAAAACCATGATATATATGATAATTATCATCATTGTCATTATCATCAATGTTGTTATCATTAGCGATATCATTGTCATTAGCGATATCGTTTTTTAAAATTATGCTCTACATTATCATCTTCGTTATTAAATATTGTTTTCATAACCATTATCATCATCATCATCATCAGTTTTCTTTATCCCTTTCAACATCACTGTCTTCATCATCACCAATATCACTGTTATTGTTATCTTCATCGCCTCCCTCATCACTATCCTCCTCATCCTCACGTCGCCTGTTCATGAAAACCTTTGCTCACTTCATACATTATTGCAAGCTGAGAAAACATTTTTCCAGTTCTGATCCGTTGTGCAACGGGACGAAGAGTGAGTGTGTGTCGTGTGTTCCGTCGCTGTGAAGCTTCATCCACTGCCCTTGATGATAAAATGTAAATACCAAGGACGTTCCCAGTTGGATTGTGGGAGATAAATTATTCATACGCCTCTATTCAGAATGAGATTGCATGTACAGAAGCACATGTACACCAGTGGCTAATGTATACTCTTTTCTCCTTTAAAAGTACAATCCAAACAAAGCCATTGTATTTGATGGATGGCATGGACCGGTGTGTGTCCTGCTAAGGAATTGGCATTTCAAACAAAAGCCTCCTCTACTCATTTTTCCCTTTTATGACGTACTCCTCCTAGTGGGCTTGCAGTAGTCTGACCAGAGGCTACATTACGCCCAGGTTCTATTTTCTCACTGTAAAAATCCTTTATTTTCCTCCTCCGCTGATCAATACCACACACTGTACTCAACGCTATTTCCAATATGCAGTATGTTCTGTCTGAACAGCCAGTGAAACACAATCTGTAACATTTTAATTAAGAGACAAATCTCCCTGTGCTGTTAGTGTTACATAGCTGCACACCTTTCATTTGAAAGAAACAGATGAACAGACAGTTGGTCTGAGACTGGGAGAGAAAATAACATCGATTGGGAGCTTTCCAGGGTTTTTTTTTTTCCCTTTTCATTTTTTTCCCCTCCTTTCTGTAACTGAGTATTCAAGGCCGTCTGGAGACGATATTGACTGAGGCTAATGGCTCATTATCTGTGCAGTCTTCTCATTAGAAAATTGTTCTGAAACCTGCAGAAATCTGTTGTTGGAACACAACGTAGTTAATGAGAAATAATGTTTTGGTTTGATGTAGAGCAGGGTAGTGAATGCACACACTTTTGTAAGGTTTTTTTTTTTTTACCGCAGTAAAACAGATGCAGTACAAGGCATGGTAGTATAGTGTGGCATAGAATTAAAATTCTTAACATTTCATAAAATAGCAATAGTTTATCAGCTCAAATGTATTTGGGTGGATGACTGACTCTAGGGTCAAGCGACAAAACATTTCATTTTTCATCCATATTCATCTTTGATTTTCCGCCTGTCCACTGCATTTACAGATTAGTGAAAACCAAGGGGATGTTATATATTCAACAACATGAGGATTTCCTTGGCTCTTAAACCCATCATCTGGTCTATTCTGGCCATACAATGTCCCTGGACGGTCGTAGCTAACGTTAGCTCTGGGCTTTACCGCAACATGTATCGCATTGAGCTTCTGGCTAGCAAATGAACTTTAGGTGCATTACTGCCACCTACTGGATTTGTACATCAGTGTTGCTGACACGCCAAACATTGAGGAATTGATTGAAAAAGTGCAACTAAATAATATATATCATATACCAAATGGCTCTTTTATATTTATATATGGATCATTTTAGAACACAACATATAAAAACACATAAGTTTTAATATTTTATATACTAAAAGTCAGTACATATATTTGCTGATTTAGTTTTTTTATATCTCACCAAATTGTACTTCCTGAACTGTTTGGGAAAAAACATTACATCATCATCATGTCAGTGAAATACTGATATTCTACAGCCTGAGTAAGTTAGGTTTAAGGTTATATTTCTGTCAACTTTAAGAACCATTAGTCGATCATTCAGTGCATTGCCTTGACAGCACAGCCCATGTGCTGTGAACATGTCATCCCGCAAATAACCCGCCCGCAGGTTATGTGGCACATGTTGCTTGTGAGCCACACGGATGTGTCTGGAGTTTGGAGTCAAACCAAGTTAGCGTGGGTTCCAGGAGGTGAAGGCGGGACTGACAGCTCAGAGACAGACAATGACAGATCTTCTTCACCTCTAACATCCACTTATCTGCCTGATGGAGAGCTTTGTCACTTTGGTGATTTATGCTTAAAATCCCTCCGCGCACACACGAACAGGAACACACGCACACTCACACACTTCATCCCGGCGCTTCTTCAAATACCTCCTGTGTCCATTGTGCGGAGCGCAGCACACTGAAGAGAAGCCAGGAAAGGTTTATGCAGAAGAAGTGAAGAATTTTACCACATTTTCCCTTTGGTTTCAATGTCTACCGAACAGAGGTCTTCAACTGGAGGTTCGCAAACCCTAAGGGGTCTCCAAAGGGACTGCATAGGGCAACGATATCTTTTTTCTCCTAATTTTGTATACAATACTTTGAATTAACCTGGTTTATGGACAAATGAAGGCAAAGAATGTTTTAAGTCAAAATTGCACAAAATATTTGAATAGTTTTTCATTAGATGCAAAAATATATCACATTTATATTGTTATGTTGCCTGGCTAATATAAATAGTTCAGTATGTTGCAGTAGTGCTCTAAATGGGACCATGAGTGTTGGTAGTACATTTCTATTTTTTTTCATTTCTTTTATATTTTTCATTCACATTATATTTATGTTGTTTTATGTATAGTTTATATGTTTTATACATTTTATATTTTAGTATTTTCTTTTTAAGGGATTCTGAAAGTACACAACAATACTGATTTTATACACGTAAACTATTGTTTTTCCTCGCAATATTTGAAAATGATGCTTTCAGTTGTGTACAGTACAGGTTCAGTTTAACAGAAAAGGAAAAATGTACATTTGCTGTTGTTTATGTGATATAATAATAATAATAATAATAAAATAATGAGTTAAATAATCCTGACATTGACCAAAATAATTGTGAAGTTTATAGTTTGTGGTATCAGTCTGGGGAAAAAGTAGAAGACCACCGATCTCCTTCAGATCTAATATGATCCCATTATTGTGTAAACAGCAGAGAACAGCTGTGACGCTCCAAACACACTTTCTAATCTAAACCCACGGAGTTCTCTGCCCTTTATTGTGATTGGACTGTTCGTTTCAAATACTTCCCCCCCTCCTTCTCTCTCTCTCTCTCTCTCTCTCTCCCGTTATCTACCCATTTCTTTCCATCAACCTCTTGCTTAATTAAAGCCAGAGCAGCTCTTCTGCTACAATATCATGTCAGAGAGTATCAACACGCCACAAAGCCTTCAGTCTAGAGAAGGAGGGGGAGGGCAGAGGGTCAGAGATCCAGTTACAGCCACCCTACACCATACCTCCCCTCTTCCTCCCCCCTGGCTGACCCAACCCCAGCCTGCCCTATTCCCTGTGCAGTGCCCAAACAGTTCTGGTCCACCACTACGACACCAAGCGATCACCACCAGCAGCCCACATCTCCGTCATCTCATCTCCCACTAAAACAGCACAGCTGCATTATTTATCTGTCACTATGTTGCTGTTTGGGAATCATTAAACGGGTGGTGATGGTAGGGCTGGGGGTGGAGAAGGAATGCTCCAGCCCTCTGTACTGAGTTACTGTTCAGTGAATGAACGAGATGTTCAAATGTCAGATAGATTAAAATTGTGCTCCCTTTGAAAATCCACTTGTTTTTATTGTATCTCTTCTGGCCACAATGGAAAGAAATTGGGCTGTAATAATTAAAGTGTTTGTCACATTTATGATTTGTTTTTAATTAATCAGTTTAAAATGATAATTGTATTCAAACATGTGGGCAGAATGACACCTACTGTGCTGTATATCCAATAGTTCTACTGTCTATTCATGTATTGTTGAAATAGACATGTGGTCATTTACACACATTGAAAGAAAATGTTTTTGTTTCACCAAAGCACCTCAACTCCCAGCATGTGTTTGTAGACTCTTCAACTTCAGGTCAGATATCGGCTCATGTCAAAGCAGAATCAACTGACAAGCTGACTGACACCAGTGGTCACATGGTTTGGGAGGGGCTGTTGACTGATTCATTTTGTTGAAGACAAATACGGAAAGTTTTGAAACGCTTGATATTTTACAGTCCAACCAATTCAATTAAGCAACATTTTTTTTAATGTTAATTCTGCCTTCTGATTGGTTGAAAAACTGGTGGGAAACACCAACATCTGTATGCTGTTATTGGTCGTAGTGTTCCTGTAGTATACAGAATTTTTGTTGTTGTTGTTTTGGTTTATGTTTGGTTGATTTATCATGATTCATCATGATAAATTACGAATTGCAATTAATTACAATTAATCATAAAGAAACAAACCCAACCTTCCCTAACTAAAACATTTTTTAAAAATCATTCATCCTTTCCTCTCTTCTCCCCTGTGTATTCTCTCTCCCCTGCTCGTCTCACTCGTCAGTCAAGGTCAGGAGGTCACCCTCATCTGATCGCATGTCAGAGCAGATTAGAATCAGGGCTTTTGTGCCATGTCATATTTCATTATGCGTTTGACTCATCCGGTGGGTCAATGGGTGAGTGTGATTTGATTGGATGACAGAAATTATATAATTTGTCTCTAACCCTGGGCCTGTATCAGGCTCCGAGTGTCGTACTAATGCGTTTTGCGAATGCGGGGCAGGCCCTCTGATACAGAGAGACTAATTTAAAGTGGCACACCGCAGAGTTGAAGGAGAGCCAGAGCTATTGCACAACATGCTGAGGTTATAAAGGAGGATTTTATCAAATAATAAACACAACCTCCGCTGGCTCTTCTGATTTCGTCTGTCTCTTGTACTGTATGCTGCCGTCTACGTTGCAAGTGATGCAAGTTCCCAAGCAGACCTGAACTGCTGTCCGGCTGTCGGGGTCTTCACGTTATCATAAAGATTTTTTCTTCTTCAATCATTTAATTGTCTTATGCCTTGCACTTTCATGACAAGACATGAAAATTATCGGTGACATTTTCAAAATGCTATGGCCAATCCCAACAGACAGTGGGTGTGTCCATCACCAGAACACACAGATTAGACCATAGGTCACGCCAGAGTCCAGTGCTAAACGGACTAAATGTTAGCTTTTTGTTTTTGGTCGCATTTTATTTGCGATCTTTAAAGAAGTCTTTATAGTTTAGTTTTACAAAGGAAATGCTTTTATACACTTTTTGTTGTGTGGAAAAATCCTGCTTAGAAAAACACTACAAACCATCATCACATTTTTATTTTGTGCACCCCCTAGTGACAGCTTGCATACCCAAAGAGGTATGGTATGGAGTGTACATGATATGGAATGCATTTAAATCGTGTTGAAATAAGAATTACAAGACAAAACTAACTGCTAATTGTATACACACCTATGGGAAACTTAGAGTAAACAATTACCTTTACCTGCTTGATTTATTTTTAAACTGCTGGGTAAAACTTATCAACATATCTGCGCAATGAAAAGACTTAGGTAACGGAACGTAGTGGAAAATATCGAGTTTGTTATTTTTCAAGGTGGATTACTGAATAATAACCTATTGACATTACCTTTGGCTGGTTGGCTCCATGTGCACAGGAAGAGTTCAGGACCTTGTGGTAGTAATGATATGCAGATGCTGCCCGCTGTTAGTGAAAACTCAACTGTGATCTCCACTAATGCGGTCGGAAAACAAACCACAGGGGCACAAGATATCTCAGGTTTCCCAATAGGCTTCTAGAATGATTGTGATGCTGATGTTGATATGGCTGCAGGAGACGGGGTTGGCTGTGTGAGCGCACGCACGAGAGAGAGAGAGTGTGTTTGTAAGTCCAACATTTCAATTGAGGACCATAATCAAACTTCACGGGCGCGAGAGAGAGAGTGTGTTTGTAAGTCCAACATTTCAATTGAGGACCATAATCAAACTTATTGCCTGACAGGATGAATCTAAGATTACAGTGTTACAACAGCAGTATTATTTCCACTCTCTTCTGTCTCTTCTGTTTAGAGCAACCATGTCTCCCACAAAATGATGCCTTTTTTCATACACACACACCATCAAACCAACATAAACAGAAGAGGAGCTGCCAACAAATCCAGCGAGACCAAAAACAACCGCCAGTCAAGCCCGTTGTTTTAATTCCTCTGCGCTTTTATTTTGAAAATCACTATTAGCATGTGGACAATGATGTTTGTCTGTGTGCGAATGACAAAAAGAACAAGTGTGCTGGCGAAAAAAAAAGCAGCACAATAAAGGGTTGATGGATCTGTACTGACGAACGGCGTTGGAAAATAACAAAGGCAGAGCTGATGGTGCAGTCATTTGAACAAACGTGTATTATTCTGACGATTGTTCAGATTCTGTCACCCACAAGTAACCTGTAGACTGTAAACCAGGGCAAGGATGGTGTATAAGTGGATGTTTACTGGTAATGAATGTGCATGTGCGTATGTGTGTGTGTGTGTGAAAAATATATCTGTAAGCATTTCAAGTAAACATAACTGCCATTAAAAACATTTTGTTCTTCTCTTGTGTGCTATTATAAAACAAAGGCCTACTGTACGAGACTGACAGCTCTGTGTGTGTGTGTGTGTGTGTGTTTGTGAAGTCAGCTTGTTCTTAAGTGTCTCTCCTCTCTGCTTCAGAGTCAATGAGCCTGTACATTGGAGGCTGGCACAGCTGGTGGGAGCAGGAGCCTAACATCTGGACCCTCGTACTCCTGGTGCCATTGTTAATAAGAGGCTGGTGGGAAGAGGAGAAGTGAGGAGAGGAGTGGAGGAGACGGCTCTTCAGTGTCAATGAACCTCCCTGTCTTCCACTGCAGCTCTTCCATACAACTCCACGTGGAGTCCGTACCAAAGTGTCCAGCTTCCACCGTGTACTGTCCACTGAGACAGAGGTGAGTCTGTCTGTCTGTCTGTCCGTCTGTCTGTCTGTCTGTCAGGTTGGTCCCGACAAGTGCAGTTAAACTGGTCACATCGTCAACAACGGCGCCGTGACACAGAAATGGCCGTCGTCTCCTTCTGGCAGACTAACATTAGAGATGACATTTTTAGATGATGGTTATTTTCATAGACTGGCTTCACTTCTACTGCATGAACTGCCAAGACATTTTGAGGCAGGCGGTACATTTCAGCAGTGTATTTGAGTTCATTTTTTTCTCACGATGTTTAATCGTATTTTATATATATATATTGCAGCAGTGTAAATGATCAGAACGCGTGGTATATTTGAAAAACAAACTCTTCACATATGTCAAAACACGACCGCAGCGTAGTATTATTATTATGATTATGAGTATTAGCAGGTAAGAGTCCTAATTAAACACATCAATTTACTCATAATTAAACTACTGTATAACTTAATGATTTCAATCATAGCTTATTAACCTCAACCACAGCAGGTGAGAATGAGCAGCTGGGAAAATGTTTAGTGAGGGGGGGGTTGGTACGGTGCAATGTGATTTGGGTGGCGACTGCTGCCCCCGCGACCTGGTAACGGATAAGCAGGTGAAAATGGATGGATGGATGGATGGTAATACATGGTTTTTAGAAATTCTTTCTAACATTTATTTGAAGTAAGGTGGAGTGGGAACAACGAACTGCATATCAACTTGTCCTAATACGTTATCTGATTTGTAGAAACTCTGAAAAGCAGCAGCGTATGTGTGGCTTCCCCTTATCCTACCAACAGGGGTGAGAGACGTAGACAAACACATTAAGTCGGCCATTAGTTTCATCTGATCACCTGGGCCAACAGGGGGACGGACAGCTTGGCAGAGCATGAGTCTTACACAAATATACAGGCGGTGCATTTGTGCCATGCCAGAGGAGAATTTCAAACAGTGGGCTTTTAAAGCAGTGTAAGAGAGTGCAGCGGTGCAAGGGGGCAATTTTCCATCTTTCTGCTGCCCCGACAAATATGCCTGCACGTCTTTTTGCTTTCTCTCCTCCCCGCGCTTCGTCAGCGAACAGCTATAGAAATATTTTGGCAGCCTCCACTTTGTTTTCATTTCCACAAAAGAGTTGGAAAAAGAACCAGAGGGCGGGGGTGAAAAGGGTTTGAGGGGGGAATTGTGGAGTAGGATTTGGGGCAAATGTGCAAAAGTAGGGGTAGTAAAGAGTGGAGGAAAGCAGATGGAAAGCAGTGCAAGTTGTGGCCGAGAAGAAGAAAAAAAAGTCCTGGAGTAAAAAAGGAAATGCAGGGAAATGAGTTCGACCCAGTGAGGTGACAAGTGGAGCAGACCAGGGTTTGGCAACGGTGGCCATAAGTTAAGGGCAAGACCTAACGTGGGAGAATCAATAAAAAGAAGAGCTTGTGGGGGTCAGACGAGGGAGCGAAGTCTGCCACTCTGTTCTCCAGCTCTAATCTAAACAGTAGGAGGAAGCTGTAAATCAGACTAATGCGGCCCAGTGTAATTCAGTCCAGCAGGGCCAGGGTGCGGAGCGGGGACCCCGAACGGCGGGAGTTTACGAAACGCCGCCGTAGGGCTTTAATCACCGCAACAACCCGGAGATACTGTCTCCCCCAATCAGCGGGCTTCCTGTCAGTCACACATGGCTGAACCCAGCCAATCATGATTCCCCTAAAGAATCCAGACATGTCGACTGGAGTTTTGGGGCTGCGGCCAAACAAGAAGATTACTCATCTGAACTGAAGAGGTTGGAATGAGCCTTTAACTCAAGGCAGAGAGGAACAAGGTGATAGATTTGTTCAAGGGTGGAAATGACTGTCCAGTAAGACGTGGCAGAAAGAGGGGAAAGTAGGAAGAGAATTAGAAGATGACGGTTAAATTCCAAGGGTCCATTCCACTTCAGAAAATCCTTTTTGTTCATTCTGACGTGATTTTAGAAACTGTTCTATATTGGCTTTTTGCCAAAAGACTAGAGATGAAAAATTGGCAGTGAAAAGTAGGCTGCAAAAACACAAGAAATTGGGTGTAAACAGATGAGAAATGGGCTGCAGAGTTATGAGGAGTAGTCTGTAAAATAGAAATAAAAAGAATAAGCTGCAAAAATAACAGAAGATAGCATCAAATTTAGATCACTCCTTGTCCTTTACGGTTACGGTAAAGGGTTAGGGTTTAACTTTATTGAGCCCGCACGAATTTACAACTTAAGACAAGACAACATTCCAACTCCGCAATCCATCCATTTTTAACCTTGATGCTAAGGAAGTTGCTACAGAACGAAGCTAATGATAGACCTGACCGCTCTACCTTCTGTAGGATGAGTGTGACTTGCTGGGCTACACACACACACACACACACACACACACTCACTCACTCACACAAACGTGTACATGCAGTGTCTTGGCAGCAGAGACGCTACAGCAGTGGCCAATCAATAAAACCTTGTTACTCTAATTGCGAGATCATAATCTCCGCTCCTACTTCTGCTGAATATCCAAACAGTCACTCCATTAGCCGAATTATTCCCCTGTGCAGTTTCTCTGCCCTAGACCCTCCCGCCCCCCCGCACCTCATCGCATTTCTTCCTTATGCTCTTTTTGTTCTGTGACATATTTCTCTCAAACTGCAGTTCTGCGAAATGAATTTATAAGTCAAGGATAGAGACATCAAAGAGAAGCATCGTAAAAGTAAAGTGCTGATGGACTAGTAGTGTCAGAGAATTCCCTTTGGGTAGATGGTTCACTGAAACCATTATCTTCTTCCACAGGGTGAGGTTTAAATGGCATTTGAACTTGGATGAGGACGATGTGCCAAATAATGTAATACTGTAAATTTTCTCTTTCATTTATATATATAAAAAAAATACACATTCACTAAAACAACACAAACAAAAATGTCCCTGACAGATGGGCACATGCAACAAATAAAATCTCGATTTTTTTTTTTTTACCAGTTCCCTTAAAAAAAATGAAAACAAAAGCAAATAGAAACAATTTGAAGTATTTTCACTTCAGTAAAGGTAACTTTTAAAACAGAAGGAAAAGGAGGAAAGGAGAGGACAGTAAAGTTACACTTCCACTCAGGGATCATCTGTTTCAGTGTACGGTTTGGGTATAAAACTAGCATCCAGCAAAGGCACTTAGTGGCTCCCAAATGTTCATGACATTTGATTAAGTTGTAACCATACACTCAAGTCATAGTAGGTAGGATTCAAGATTGTTTTGTTCAAGCTAACATTTTATCATGATTTTTCTAAACAAATTGAACTCAAGATAAATTATGATCAAATACAATGATCCTTTATTTTTAAGAACTATGCAAAATACCATTACTAACTGAAATGATCTTGTCTGCCTCCAAAACTGAAGATGTTATCTTAAATAACAGAACACAAAAAAACTGGTCTGGTCTTATTTACCTCACTAACTGTCAATGTAATAAACAACAAAAGTATATAAAAAATATGTTACCTGGAAAGAGTTCCCAGAAACACTGTTTGTGTCTGTGGGTTCTTCACGTTCTGTTTGAACACCTGAACGTCACTTAGACTAGATCTAGATCTGACATCTTGGTTTAATAGCGGGTCGTATACAAAGTTTTTAGTTGCATACCGCCACCTGCTGTACTAGAGTGTGTAGTCTCATGGTATGACCACTGACTTTTTGAGATATCCTACTCCTTAATGCACGATTCATTTTTTTATTTCGACTGATGCGAATTATCTCACATGTGTATCGATTTTTCATGCATCGTTTATTGCCAACATTTGTTTTTGCTTTTTTTCACATTTTTGTGATGGACATATAAGTATGGGTTGACTTTAAAAAAAAAAAAAAAAAAAAGGCAAGTCACCAATAACAAAAGCGAGGCTTCTGGACCAAGAGTGCCTGTCTGTCCTGCCTGCAGTCCAGATCTGTTTTCTGTTTGTAACACATGGCGTATCATGAAAAGGGGCATCAGACAAAGGACAATGTATTTTCTTATTTCCTGCATTCAACACGCTGGACCTCTGTCCATGCAGAACCACTGAATTTGAGTTAAGAGTTCAAGATGACTACATTTTCTAACAGTTACTGAAGTCTTGGTCAAAACTTCAGTAACAGTTCGAATGTAAGTTGGATTTCAGTGAAAAAATATCTAACCATGAGCACAGCAAACTCTCCTCTCATCACATCACAGCCTTCTGAGCTCTTCCTCATTCCCTGATTCTTGATTTACAGAAACAGGCAGAGAGGGCATACATATTTGCAGCGGACATAACCTTCTCATAAACCCGTCATCATTTTAAGCTAACCTAAAGAATTGTCACAGTTCATATAAAGCTTGTGGTTTTTCCTTCTTTCTGCATAAAACCTGCATAAAAACAGAGCTTATTCTGATAGTTTGATTTAATAAAAAACATTTTTTTGCAGCGTTAATTTATTCATCCATCCATGTAATGAGCACAGTATTTAATCTGACATTTAATGCGCCAAATGAATTACAGCTGCGATTTTCAAACCTCTTTAACCTTGAAAACACAACATTAAATTTAAGCGTTTGCAGTCGTATAAACCTACAATTAATTGGGAAATTGTGACCCAGAGCCAGCGTTCAGGAGTCCTGTGCCACAGTTAGTGTCATTTACAAACCCAAGCGTTTAATGTAAGAGGAAAACCAGCACAAACGTAAGGCCCCGAGCTCTAATAATTACAACTGACAGGGACAAATTCCCTGCTCCCCAGTGTATGTCAGATGGGCTTATTCCCAAACTTTGCAAATCCCTTTGTTCAAACACAACCATATGTTCACAACCAGCTGTGCTGGAGTCTGTGTGATATGGTCGCCCTGCGCTCTACAGGAACGTTGACTTCCTCTCCATTCAAACTCAATAAAACCCCTGCCATGGAAACGAGGTTAGATCAGAATTTGATGTTTGACACCCTCTGGTCAAAATCGCCATCAGACATGAACTAGACAACGACCTTTATTGCATAGATACACTTTTTTTTTTGAAAAAGAAAGTGGAATTCCACTTGCTTTTAGCTGATGTTTTGTTTTAAGAAACAACAATTCCTTATCCGTCCTACTAACAAGCACAGCGCTCCCTGAGGCCATTTGGCTAACAATCAAAGAACAGTTGAAATAGCAGGTTTTCCCTTTTAAGGGCAATTTTCCCTCACCTGGTTTGGTGGCAGGAACTCGTGGTTGTTCTCATTCATGTACATGTTGTCACCATCAAACTGTAACAGACAGAGGCAGAAATGAGAAAATACAGCATGACAACAGTGAGATAAAATAAAATTTAAAAAACGGTTCAGTCACTGGAGAGCACAGAGAAAGAAGTGCGACGCCGCGGCCTAATGACTCCAGGTTCTTTGGTTCGCAGACCTCCGATGTTCTGCTGGATGTCAGTAATTACAGTTCATTAGGGACACGTGTAATTAGGGCCCTGTCAGGGCTAATGTAGCTCACACTCTCTTCACAGCAGTTTGTCTACGGCCTCATTTTGTGTGCCTGTATGCAAGCACACACACACACACACACGGCTTCATGGGTGTCATAATGGAGAGTGAGTTTCATTCATGCGGTACAAATCCATAATTAGATCACAACAAATGTTTAACAGGTGCATAAAAATGCATTTGAGTTTTTAGCCCGAACTTAAAAGAATAATTTGATGATTTTAACTCACTGTCACCACAGCTGTTATTGGCACAACTGGATGCCCTTGATGATCAACCAAAACTAGCACTGTAGCTGTGGATTAATGTCGATTTATTAATCACAAATAACCTGACTCAGTTCTTGAATAAACCTTTTACAACTTGCAAAAAACAGCAAATAATAGAGCTGTGATTTCCAACTTTTTTTGTGCCAAGGCACATATTTCCCACAGTGCACTACCAAACAAAATTGCCACAAAACATATGTGTAATATAACAAAATGATCTTCTCATTTGTAGTTACTCACTATTTACTTACTCAGAGGCCTGTTGAGTTGAACAAAATGCTAATATGCCCACAGGAATTGAAGATCGTCATTCACAAAACATTCATCTCCTTTAACCATTAAAGTTTCTTGTTTTTTAGTTCTTCATTCAGGAAGTGAGGCTGATGTGAGTAATTAGTTGGAGTAAATACATAATAATATTCAGACCAATTAAGTGAAAGTGGATGATTTTCACCTGATGACCTCACAGGGCACTTCACAGTGGCTGGAAATGACTGCAGTTGAGCATTGATAAAGGAATAGATGGGGGCGGAATTATTAGATATACAGCGCCAATCATTCTGCTCGTATATTTTAAAGTGTTTAATTAATGGGATTAACCATGAATCATTATGACGGTCCAACTGAAAAAAACTAAGAAACAATGAGAGACAAATGACGAATAAGTGGAGGAAACAGGTTGTAGAAGCAGCAGTAGTGGTTATTGTGGCCACACTGTAAATAGGACTGGGGTCAGTAGCTACAGCTGAATGCAAACACACACACACGCACACAGACACACATACACACTCGTAGTCCCTGAGGCCGTCCCTTGCACTCAGCCTGACACTATTTGGCAGTATTCATTTAGGAGGAAACAAAACACGTCCAGACAGCTTGTAGTAGCAATGACAAATGACAGCGACTACTGTAAGGTCAAGTAACAACACAGACGTGTGTTTCTACATGCATACAGTAACCTGAGGTTCCAAAGCTGTGGCCAGGGACTGAACGCAGGCCATCATTTTTCTCAAAGCCATATTTTAGCAAGTGTAATGAGCCACGGCTGCTGCAACAAAATTTATGGACTCGCTGCCCTTCAGTGTGACGCCTTTAAGAGATTTTAATTAAATATTTGAATAACTCCGAGTTGAATTATGGACAAATTCTACTTTACTTCCTTTTCTGTATCTTTATCTTCCAGCCTGGCACCGCTGCAGCACCAAACAAACTGTATGAAAGGCAGCTCCTTCCTTCAGTTTGAAACCCTCTCCTCATTCAGCCAGTAATGAAACTGTGACTTGAAGTGCAATGATGATGGCACCATTAGTTGGCAGAAGAAGAAAAACATTGTATTTTACAATAGAAAAAAAAACAAACAGCTTTCTGCAGTGCCAGAGGAAATTATTTTACACGCTGCTCCTAATCACATCGTTCCTGGTGTTGATGGTTTTTATTTTCACACCTTTTCACAGGAGCAAAAGGGTGAACACAATGGTTTTTCTTAGCTTAGATCAGATCATTTCAAACAACTTCTCCCACATATTTTTTTATTCTTATGGTAAGCTCATGGTTGCGTTCGCCCTCCTTATAATTAGAATGTAACAGAATCGAACCCTGATGTACTTGACCTTTCAAAAAAAAGTATAATCAACCAAATATGTCACTGTTACTGTTCCTCATGCGATCTGTGGAAAACAAAATGAATTAACTGCGACAGGATCAGGCCTTTCAAAGAATTATGGACACGGTCGTGAAGTAATGTTTTTATAATGAGCATGGTTTAAGAGCAGCGTCACGCTATTTCCAAAACAAAACCGCGATGAGGGGTTTGGGGCGGTATATGACGGGAGGCTGGGAGATGGATGACCTGCTGCCGCTGCTAAAAAACTACTAGCTGCATTTACACATAGAGTTAATATAAAACATCATTATATACACTATACATGTAAACAGGCCGGTAGGGATGTCCGATCTTAACTTTTTGCGTCCCCTGCTCACTAAGTTGATGGGTTATTATTTCCTGCCATGCCTCTGCATGGGACAGATGACTTTTCAACCCCTGTCACCCAAAATAAAAAAAACAATTGAGAGTGGTAATATTTATTTATTTAGAACAATGTTTCTCATTATTTGAGAGTGGTAATATTTATTTATTTAGTTAGTTATCTGTACAAACCACTGTATTTGCCAGCACCAGCATTCTGCATACAATCAACCAGGTTATTAAAATAGATTCATAAAATGACGTGCAATGCTGCCATCTAGTGACTTTCGCTTTGATAAACAGCTGTTTTTCCCCAAAACTATTTTTAGAACTGACATCATTTTGACATCAAAACCGATAACGATTCTTACAGATATTACATAGTAATGCTAATATCGGGCTGATATGGCAGGACATTGCTCCATATCTGCGTCATCTTGGGGCATTAAAAAACTAGACACACTGGTTGTAAGCTCTTCAAGCTCTCGACTAAAAAACAGAATAAACTGTTGCTTTGAAATGCAACTTTATTACTTTCATCATTTAACTGTTGCTAATTGTTGTTATTCCTCAAGATGTGACGTCTATGCTCTGTTCCAAATGTCAGGCAACAGAGCCCGAGACTGGCAGCAAGGCTAACTGACATTAGCTAGTCACTGATGCTTTTTGTTTACTTGGATACAAACATACAGTTCCAAATTTTTATGTTTTGTAGCAGTTGTGAGTTTCCTGTGTCTAAAAAGTAGAGCGTCTCTTAAAGAATCGAGGAGATTTTAGCTCAGAAACCGCAGTGTTCTCGTGTCTGAACAAAAGAGCGGCGGACATACAGTATAAGACAGGGCTGGGTTTGGACTGTTTGCTTTCCTGAGGCTTTGGGGTCATTAATCATAACAGTCAAATCTATGGTATAACAACCCAGGCTAGAAAAACACAGGCAGAGAGGAGGGTGGGGGGGTGATGAGGTTGTAAGGTCGAGGAGAGTGGGTAAGGGTGAGGGAGATGTTGAATGTCAGGGTGAGATGGAGGAGAAAAGAGGGGACTCCTGGAGCGCAGTAATGGAGAGGGAAATATTCTGCGCTCGATGGAGGCTTCGTACAGCAAAGGGACACACATGGTATGTACAAGTGACGCACTTGACACCAGACTCTTATTTGCATAGCAGAATGCAAATACGGAGACGGAGGGGGTGAGGATGGGAGGGAGAAAATAAAGTGAGAGACTTGTTATAAATAGCTTTGTGTTTGCGTATAGCCACACCAATGTCAGTTTGATGCAGGAAGTGCACCAGTGTTACCGAGGTTAGAACAACTGTTGACTTGCTTTCAGACAAGGAACGTACATAACACCACAAAGTCACTGTGGTTGTTCGAGAGCGTACGTGTTCGGGCACAATGCTAACAAAGGTTTACATGAAAGAGTTGTAAGACAGATGTTATCATTTCTAAAACATATTTGGATGTCTCCAACGGCTTTGACCAGTTTTATTGCTGTATCTTTGTCTAGTGTTGAGCGGTGTGACCTTTCGTTTCATCTGGTGTTTAAACCTCAAACGTGGAACATTCTGACATTAGAGCAACGGTCAAAATTTGAATGAACCTCTCAGGGAAACCTTTTCACATTTTCGAAGCTTTTGCTTCAGATTTTTTCTTCTTCTTTTGCCAAATTTGAAAGAACATTTTCCGAGGGACTGTATTTCAGTTCCTTAGACGAGACAGAGAAGCTGTTAGTGAACTTGTCTTGGTCACGACATCAAGTGGCTAGACTCAAATCGACCAAACTGTAGCTGTTGAATATTTTTTTGTGACCCCTGACGTAGGGGATTATTATTTGTAAATAATAATAATAAAGGAATAAAGTCTTTAAAGCCTATTTCTTTCATCCTTACTCAAATTTTGACTATGTGCTACGGACTAGTTGAATGAAGCTCACTTTTATATCACTGTACCTTCTACATGATTTAACAGAAACTTACATGTTGTACCTAATGGTTGGTAGAAACGCTAGCTAAAAACAGTCGGTAGCTTGCGGTGGTCATTAAAGCCTGGACCTGATGACGAGTACACACACAAACATACATGTTTAGTATAGTATAGTATAGTATAGTATAGTATATGGGCGTACTGTAATTGGACTGCCAGTGTGTGTGTGAGATATTATACAGTAACTGCAGCATTGTGTATTTCACCTTTAAATAATCCTCATACACACATGCGACTCGTGTACGTTGTATACACAGTACGACTTAAGTGTGTGCGTGCAGCTAGCTCTGACTGAACTGCCTGCAGGCCTGCAGCGAATGTTTATATAACGTGCCTTATACAATGTGATAAAGATTGATCCCTGTTAGATTAACAAAATAAAACTGAAAAAGTTAGCCCTTCCGCAACATCTTTTTTTCCCATGACACGACATGACGGCGCTGTGCAGCCCCGCCCATCTAACTCCATGTAGATGAAATATGGTTTTCATTACATTTAAGCCACGCAGAAACTCGAGGAGGAGGAGGAAAAAATGTTCCCAATCTTTCTCAAGCGAAAGAGCAC